TGATATATACATAAGCAACCCAGGAAGTATTCTAGCCCTATCTCGAGACCGTAATAAAAAACACGTTTTCTGTAATTGATATATGTAGCAGATTAAGGTGATGAGGTTTAAATATTTTATATCCACCAGAACCTACTTCTTGCACGCTTTGATGAAGCCAGCCTTTAAAGAACGGATGTGCACTGGGGTATTGACTAACAAGAATCAAGAACATTGAAGAAAATCCTTTTTTTGCAAGTAAACCATTATTTAAAGAGTATTTAACCCTCAGCAGCACATCTGACTGCTCAGTGCAGCCGATTCTGAGCTACCCAGCTCAGACCCTCATTGACCCTCGCCACGTGTTCTTCAATCAGACATCCTCTTGTAGCAGCAAGTTAATGGCAACGAACGTAACGCAGTCATTGCGCCGGAACACATTTGCCCAGCGGCCCGCGGTGACCTCAGCCCGCGCTGGTGATGAGCCCATCAGTTCAGGAAGAACATGGGCCGACCTTTGCTGCCCAGGGAGGACCAAGCCAACACTCCCATCACCGGCCCATTGAAGCAGCCACCAGGAAACTACGCACCTTTCTACCACGGCAGAGCCCTCACCTTCAGGACCGTCCGACCTTCTCAGGCCAGAAAACCCTGCCAGCACACCTCGGAGTGCACAGGCGAAGCAAGCTGAACTCATCTCCGTAAAACCAAAAGAAAAAACAAACCCCACCGCATTTTCACAATGGGTTTCAGAGAAAAAAAAAATATCCAGTGGTGGGCCTTTCCTGAAGGCATCTCTGAAAACCGCCCCAACGCTTCCTTCGATAGCTAGGGTCCTGTCTCTGTTCCTTCAGTTGTAAACTGAAAAATTATTTTTATTTTGGTAAGATTAGTGCCTCTGAAATACAGCTTTACAAGAACCGTTGCTTAGCTTCCCCAGCTGAGATGAGAGAGGATAATCAAATTTTCACCTATAAAATTAGCATGATTAAATACCTACATACTGCTGATGAGCCTGACTGCTCCAAAATACGTATTGTGGAAGAGCCTGTAGCATTGAGAAGCATTTTTAACCTCGTCTGAATGTAAAACATGCAAGTTAACACAGGATGATTTACTAAAGCAAAAACTGAACAAGAAATTTTATCTGATGCAGCCTTACCCTCATTGCTTCTGCTACAACAGATGATCTTCTGTTGGCAGCACGAGCGATGAACGATCGCTGCACTTCGCTACAGCGTGCAGCAGCTCATTAAAAACCAAGGAAATATGATAACATATTTCTATTAAGAATTCACGCTCATTATCCAGATTCCTGTTCTCCTAACCCCTTTCAAGGTGCCCTTCAAGTCTACAGTTTTCACCTCAGACAAAAAGCGATAAATAGACTCTGGGCATCCATGTGGCAGAAGCGTTCTAATTTCTAGAGACACTATTTCTAGAGTCAAAATTTCTCAGAAGCCGAATGACTGGTCTTTAATTAATCACTCCCTGACAGTTTGTGTGTGGGTATCAACGTTCCAAGAGTAGGGCGTTCAAAACCAACCTGCAGGGTGCACAGAACTCCCGCACCCAGCGGCTGCAAGCCTGCCGTCAAGGATACGCTCCCCTTTTTTAAAAAAAACAAAACAAAACTTAAACAGCAAAGACTACAGTAGACATTTATTATTTCCAAGTCTACCTCGTTTATATAAACTGAAGTAGGATTTGAAGAACAGCTGTCTTGGTTAATCAGTGCCTCAGCTGCCTGAGAACCAGTAACGATGCTCAAATATTGCTTGGATAAAAGGATTATAACGCGCTTCAGCAGTGTTAAGTCTGAACATAACAACACTATCAGACAAAGAACAGTAGGAGAGCAGAGTGACGAAGTGAAGAAACAGTATTGTGGTTAAGTATGTTCCTGTTCGTTAGCTGGTTGTGGTGACACGGGGCGTATGAGCACGTCTCCTCTGTCAACGTTCCCATGGCCAAAACCCACGCCAAAACCTGCCACACACGGGGCTTTTCGATGCTGGACTTCCAGGAACATGGCCACAACCTGTGCCTGCGGTTGCCATTTCTCTGGCTAGCCCAGGACGACAGCACGAGCAGCGAGAGCCACGGGACCATGACCTGACCGAGCCAACCAGAGCCCCGGCGCCGCCGTAACTCCCCGCTGCCACGCCGCTCCGGAGCGACTGCTCATTTCGGCAACACACAGAAAGGCCAGAAGTGACAAATACTGTGGGTACAGGCTCTGCGAAAAGCTTTCCAAAGAAATTTCCCCGCAGACAAACAAGAGAAATGCTAGAAATAATGAGGAAATTAAGAGCAACAGGAAAAAAAAAAAATCATAAAATTTGGCTTACTTCTCTATTAAATCCAGTGTGACTCCTGGCACCAGTCTGACACTCTTCTGCATACAGAACCTGCAGAGAAGAGAATAAAACATACTAATTGAATATTTAATGACAAGGTTCTGTGGAAAGAATGTGGAAGAAGGTTTCTTTATTACAGTGCTTCTGCATTTAAAATGGTGCTTGGGTAGCAAACTTTACCACGGCACAATAAGAATCAAACAAGGCCCTCAATATTTGTCACACTCGTGATTATGCGGCCATTTCCATCGTCAGGTGTCAAAACCGGGGTATTGTAACTGTCACGGTGACAAGTTTTCCAACACACAGCGGGGGGAAAAGGGCTCGCAGTCATCCAGCACGGTCTCTCGGGAGGAGCAAGACGACACGAGAGCCGAGGAGGTTTATGCTTCTGGAATAATGATTAGCACTGGCTGGGTTTCCCTGAAGAGATTTGGCACTGCAGGCAGGAAAGTGAGAACGGGAGGGAACGAGAGGGATGCATCAAGTTCAAGCACCTCGGGTATTCAATTAAAAAAAAATGCTGACTCCATTCCCTCGGCATTGCAAATCCCAGTACTTCAGGAACGCCGGCCCTGGAGAATGCGAAGTCCCCTTAGCGCTGCCGCTCGCTGTGCCTAGAAAATCCCAGGAGCTGCTAACCTGAGGGAGCGGGGAGGACGGCGTGGCTGCGGCCCATGCCAGTGCTCAACTCCCTCCTCCAAAACTCTTGGGATGTGCTTTGTGCCCAGAGGGCAGAAGTGGGAAACAGTAGAGCTGGGAAGGAAACCCAGCAAATTCAACTGCAGAAGTGACTCCCCCAGTGAGAGCGGTACCTTCCCAGCCCTTCTTCCCGGTATTTCAGAAATCCACTCTCTGTTAGTGAGGAGTTTGCCCATCAGTGCAATATAAGCTGATATTTCACCCCTACGCTCCACACAGGACCTGAAAGCTCTGCGGGCAGCGAGGCACCGGGAATCCCAGCTCCCGCATCAGCGATGGCTGGAGTTGCCACAGCAGGAGTCCCCCCCTTCACCGGAGCCGCAATGCCCACATCCCAAAGGCCTTCACCGCCCCAGGCAAAGGAGAGAACAGTCACTTTTTCAAAGACAAGATGTGCAGAGCCCATTTCTGACACCTTGAGGACCCTCCAGTTTTCTTGTGGCATCCCCGCCTGCAGGACATCCCGTTACTGCCGAGAACAGGGATGGGCTCACAAAAGCTAAGTGGTCTCCAGGCTGCTTTTCTGATGCGTGCGCCATCCATCATTGAAAAAAAAAAAAAGTCATAAAGCTATCTATGAGCACTGCAGCGGGATCCCTACACAATCTGCTAGAATATAAAAATCTTACAACGCTGCTTTACAGAACCACGCAGGGAAATACCCCGCTCAAACAAAAACTGCAGGCGGAATTCAGCACGGCAGAATTAGGTCACTGGAATTAGGCTGGAGCCTCCCAACAGACCGAGGATGCCAGAAGAGTTTCTAACTCCTCTACATTACGACTCAGATGAAAGAGGGCCCCGACGGAGCTAGCACGCCTGCTCTCTACGAGGAGGGGAGGGTCCCACCTATCGCCGTGCCATGCAGTATTTTGTATTTACTTGGGAAGCCTCTCATCCGAGCCTTGATTCGACCTCACCTCCCTCCCTCAGCAATACTTTACAGGCTCACAGATCAATAGGACAGTGCTGCACCTGCTGGAAGACACAATGCAAAAAAAAAAAAAATAGGATGAGCATCCTAACCCCGCTCAGCACAGCCAGTCTCCCCCGGGCCAGGCAGCAAGCGGCCGAGCACCCATGAGCAGGCTCCCGCCTGGCAGCACAGCGCGTTTGCCACAGGGCAAACACACACAGCAGCCTCCTTTCTGCCAGGATTTCTCCCAAGTTCCAAGCTTTCCATTGCAGCTTGTTGGATGAGAAGCAGAAAGCTCGCCCCACACACGCAGAGGGTCAGGACGCACAACAAGAGGAACGCCGCCACGGGCAGCCCTTCCGACAGCGGCGGGAGAGGCTCAGCCGGGAGGTCAGCCCTACACGGGTCATTCCACCTCTGCCTGCGCTCCGGAGCCGTCACCCAGCGCCGCCTTCGGGAGCTGCCAGTACCGCGCCGTCGGCAATGCGTAAATAAGCCCAGATTTCAGTTACGTCATGTGAGCTCATGGCTCCTCAAAGATGACAAAATAAAACCAGATTGCATTTGGCTCGGGAACCCCCCTTCTGCCCGGACCGTGGGCCTGTTTGATACTCACCAGAACGGGAGTAAAGCAACAAGTGCTTATTCATTTTTGATATACCGGGACTGTTGCAGTGCTGCTTTTACAAAGCACCCACCGCTGCCCTGAACATTCTGATAGAGAGGAGTTCATTAAAGCCCCATTTAACCAGCAGCAGACTCTCCGCATTTCCTCTCTAACAACCACTGACTGCCAAGAAAATGTACTCGTCAACAAAACGTTCCTCATCCTGTATCCGTGAGCCCCCTTCATCGCTCCAGGGCCCTGGAAGGGGCACGTGCCTCAAGGGCTGCGCTGGGGTCAGCACCACAGACATCAGGCGAAAGAGGTCCGAGCTGCACACAAACATCCCAGTACACGGCAGGCGGTAAAGAAAACCAGAAAGGCACCCAACAACGCTCAGCTGGGCTCTGCTCGAGAGCACAGGAATACCTGGAAACTCGATTTAGTTTCTCTAAATAAATTTGGGACAGAGGATTGGCTCAGTTAACCCCCCAAATCTCAAGCAGAAATGCAAAATAAACACAGTTGGAAAAAACCAAACCCAACCCGTTAAATGTTTGTTTTAATTGACCCGCAGCTGTCAAGCTCTTTCTCCCATGCGCTTCCAAGCCTGCTGTATTTATATATATTAATATATATGTATATATATGTGTGTGTGTGTTCTGACCCCCACACTACACAATTGAAATTCCAGTCTGAGCAGTTCCCAACCTTTGTTCCTTTTTGGTCTGGGGGTTTCCAGCACTTTTCAGGAGCCCTATTACTCTTGCAATTGGGACTTCAAGATTCAAAAGCATTGGGTCCCTAGGACAACTTAGACAAGGACACGCTTCCCCCTGATATGTACAACTGTCAAAATATAATTGCAGCTTGGCTGTGTCTTAAGGGACTGATGATAATGTAAGCCTATCAGTCAAGATTAACAACCCATATGGCTTATCTCTAAGCTTGCCTCATATACAGTTATATATAGTTACAACATATATGTGGAATATGTCAGCTCACAACAGTGGCTACACTTGACGATAATCAGCATCCAGTTAGCCAGAGTCCATACACCGGATTCCTGGAATTGTCAGGCTGTCGTTAAGAGCTTCACGCACCGCATTCAGAAGAGCACGACTGACCTGGGTTTCTCTTCCTGGCATCAATTTTTCCTTTTCCTGAAATGAGCCTGAAGTGGATGCAGCTGTAGCTCCATCTGATAAGTGATTTTGTCCATCAGTTGTTTACTTCAAATACAGAGCACAAAATGGGATGTATAGAAATTTATTCATCAAAGTTTTATTTGCCCATAAATTCAGGACATGAAACCTCATCAGCTCGTCAGTCCGGAACTGCAAAAAACCGTTGTATTTCAAAAGCAGCTCTGCAGGGCTCTGGATCGGCGTTGGTACAGGGGCGAGGCTGAAGGAGAAGAGAACCTTCCATGGCAAAGGTTTCCATCTTTGCTTTCTGCTTTAGGACAGGCGTGTACGGTTTGCACCAAAGAGCTGGAATACAGGAGGAGGGTCCGGCTTTGCAGGGATGAAGAGCAGCGAGTAAC